GCTCAAAAAATGACTAACTCACCAGCTGTGAGTCAACCTTATAACCAATTCAACGAAGAGAATTCCACAACGCGATTCCAGGCACATCCGACAAATTGCTCGAATCAAACTATTTACGACCAAAAATTGCGATCCAACTATTCCCCATCTGCCACAGCAGAATGCTGTAGCAATTCCGACACTATTGAGCGTATGGACTCGATCAATTGCCAATCAACCATATGTAATAATGAACCCATAGCTACAAAATTGCAAAAATCAAACCCGAAGGGTGGCAATCACTTGGCCGGCAACAAAGCCACAAAACCAAATCGAAATCAATCGGCAAATGCGCAAAATTCCGAAAAGGATGTGGTGAAAGTGCCTAGGTATGGTAAAATGGAGACTAAGCCGCAACAGAGCTCTTACGTTTCATACCCTCTGACGCCCACACCTAAAGCGGTCATTACTACCCGTGGCATGTACGTAACGTGCAACAGTCGCGGATTACTTGATCATGGTTACACAGTAAAAGGCACCTTTTATCCACCAGTTTCCGGGTCCGATAACCCTTCAATATGCAATACCAACTCGGGGCATTCATTATCCAATTGCGAAGTTGCCACTGCATTTACTACTTCCACGGAAAGTACACTTAGCACTAATTGTGGTCCTAGCTATCAGTCAATTTATTCACATGATACAAGCTCCACAGCTGGTACGCTGCATCAAACAATTGCCAACACAGCAGACAGCTTTGCAACGCTGCCAAGCACCTACGCGCCCAATATGCACTTCGATGAATTCGCAAGATACTCGGGCGGCGTCGAAAATGACTTTACTCATGTAATCTGTGACAATGGAATGGAACATGGCAAAGCGGATGGCGATATGAAATTCACTAAATATCCAGATACGAATCACAATTATGACGACTTCGAAGCTTACAATAATTCTTTGGTTATCCCTGCCGTCGCCTCCAATTACTATACTCAGCTGCCTTACACACTAGCAGCATCAAGTGCATGTACTCCTCCGGCGTCGCTAGCATTTCCCCTCCAATTGGCATTACCTCTACAGCAGCCAACCACTTCTGTTTACGCTCCACATCACCACCATCATCACTCTCATCATCCGCACCACCCGCAGCAAGTGCACAGTCAACAATTGCAAAACGGCTACCCATCTTATAACCACTTTGTTTCCACCACAAATAGTACGGGAACCGTTCTTCCTACCAGCACATCATTAATGTCCATCAGTGAACAGAATAGTGTCATCGACGCCATGGCTACTCCTATGCAACAGTCGCCCATTGCACCATATACACGAAATGCTGCTGGAAGCGCTGCGACATTTGTAAATGCCGACAGAATATTCGACGCACGCAAAGACGACGAAATTAGTAATATATTGGCTGGAGTGAGGAAAACCTGCTACAGTAATTGACAGGATTCGTACACCTAACGAAGCATTATTAAAACATTTTATTTAGGAGCACTTTGTTAAAACCATATGCATAAATAAATATTATTGAGAGACCTGCCTTGCGGTTATGCCATATCCAAAAGATTTAACATTTTCCTGTGAAATATATTAGCGTCATTTCTAACTATAATACTTCATTAGTAGGAGACCTAAAACCCCAGTATTTGTCATTAATCCAACATGAAAGGCCAAAGTAAGAGCGAAAAAATATATTATTTTTATACTTTTCACCTTATAACGATATACATACACACGTTTAATTTTGATTTTCAAATTCTTGAAGAGCTATAAGGTTTTATTTCACCCGAACATAGCCCATCCTTCCAAGTTTTTAAGTCCAATTCGGATATAAGTATATACATACTTTTCTTATATGTAGGATATTTCCGGTCAGAGTCCGGTCTTTTGTAGACATATCTGACTTCTTTCTAAGGGAAGAACTTTCGTACAACATTTTTTAGCTTAATAATTCATAAATGGTTGTAAAAGCTTTAGAATAAATTTTACACATGCATTTTATTATTTCATTACCAAAAGAACTCTTGTACAAGTTGTACTTACAATAAACTGCTTAGGAATAAATAAATCAGTCTAAAAATGTTAACTTTGTAAGAAGACAATAAATATTTGTACATATGTATATGTATATATGTTATCTTTTGAAATTTGCGGTTTTTATTCAGAAACTAAGTATGTAACTTAGTTAACAGTACGTGATAGACGTTTTGGTGTACAAGGGGCATCAGGGAATTCTAAATTGATATTGAAAGAAAACGTGGCTATTTTTTACTATATCCAATATTGATTCTCAATAAATTGTAGCATAAATAATTATCTTAAGTAAAAATATGTTTGAAACAGTTTTAGGAGTTGTTTTTTTTATTCACCTAACGGTTATATGTATCACCTCAAACTTATCAAGATATATATAGGGTTATATATATATTAAATTATCATAGTGACGATACGAGTTGAAATCCGGGTGGCTGTTCGTCCGTGTAAGTTTTAACTTGAGTAAATTGGACATAATTGACCACAAAACGCCATTAAAGGAAAACCTATAAAGTGCCATAAATAAGCACTTAATTAAGCTAGGGTACTGTAATTTGGAACAGAGGATTGCAGTAGCAAGGGTCACCTGTTGGTTAAAAAGTTTGAAAAATTGGGTGTGGCCCCGCTCTTTAATAGGTTGAATATACATACATATCTCCTAAATCACTAAATCCTCAACAACTAAATTTGTAGCGCTCACTCCTCATATAACTGTACTGGTAACAACTGGTAAGAGTGCAATAAATCAATAACTAAATACGCCAGAGAAAAGCTTAATAGAGGCCGGGGTAAGAACTGACGATGGGCGTGGCACCGCCGACTTTTAGGTGAAATTACATATCTCGAGACCCGCCATACCATTTCTACCAAATTTGTGCTACCCATGCAGTCATGCAGAAGCAGTCAATATAACAGGATAAAACTTTACACAAATAAATAAAGCTTTAGTGTATGCCAAAAATTGTGGAAATCCGACAAAACTTGTTCAAGCCCCTAGGTAGCGAATATTTGAACCCCAGTAGCTGCAGTTAACTTTTTATCGCACATATTGGCCAATGTGTGCAATATATAATTGAAAATCAGCGAGAATCCTTCCATGAAAATAGTATATCTGCGTGTCAACAGTAGATTGAATCGGATCAATATTTCGTTTATCATCCATATACCCAATGCAACGATATACGTGAGTTATCTAAATAAAATGAGACAGCGTATTTTACTGATAACAGTGTAACTTTGTGCTTAAAATGGACAAAATTGGGCGAAAACATGCCTATCCCCCATTCAACTAGCATAAGTATAATATCCGGGTGACTTTACTCCATGTGATTGCTGCTGGTAAGTGAGGTATCTTAACGAATATCAGAAACATTTTTATTTATAAGTGTGATGTTAATACAAAAAGTACTTCCTTACTTGTGCTTTTTTTCGGGGTATTACATAGATTAAGTTAGATGGTTGATCAAAGATCGCACGTGGACTGCTATATGTAGTTCTTTGTGAATCCGTAGAAAATGAGAACTCCCGCGTTCGAACTTATAAATAAGCAAAACGCTTAGTAGCCAAAACAAATTTGCATTTAATGTCCATTCCCACCGAACCGGGATGTCTGAAGATATGCGCTCCCAAATGTTTAAGTATTGACCTTCCAAATGCGGTATAGTTAGGAAGGAAGTATTGAGTTACTTCATCTCATCTTCTTTCATACAGCTTTTGCATATGGCAAGATTCCCAGCCTTGCTACGTGAACGTCAATATGGTAATGGCTTGTTAAGCGCCCAACAACTAGGGAGAGGCTAGCCTTACTGAGATCAAAGAGATCAATATATTTCTTGCGAACGATCTTGGGATTTTGCGACAACGTACCCACGGTGGCCCAGCGCTAGCCAAGCTTCCGTGGAGCCCAGCTATTTAGTAGTATAACACAAGAGAACACGGGGCACCGACTAACACTCAAATACTCAATCTACAGATAGCGGTTCTAGGGCTTTAGGTTGCTAGCTCATCAGCTTTAGAATTTTCTGCCGCTGTTGCCTGGAATACCAGTCTTATCACCAAGCTTTGGCCCATGCGTAAAAAACTCACTACTCCTCAGCTTCCATCAAAGCTTTTTATCCAGGATAAGCCCTAGATGTTTCACTATATCCGCCGATTGCAGACAGATGTCTCCCATTTACGGCAGCGGTGCTACCGGGATTTTGTATTTTACACTATTGAAACCATCTCGGTTTTATTTGGTTTGATGACGAGACTTTGCAACATGTTGCCAGAGTTCAAAACTTAAATGTGATGGAGCAGGAATAAAAAATTAAATAAATAAATATTCATATAGGGAAACTTGACTCAATAAAAAAGATTAAATTTATAAACAAAAAGGAGACTCCAAAAAATGATTGAGCTTAAGATAATTGCGTCAAAGTGTATGCCTATATCGTGCACTTTTGCAATTTCTATATCCTAACTTTGCTAAAGGACTAAAAATGCCTGTGTCCATATAGAAGGGAAAATATCTTCTTTAAGAAAATAATTAAATAGCATTGTTAATGGTAGTAAAAGGAGAATTTTGATATGCTTTTATAAGCTTATTTTAACTAAATTAATTTACGGATTTAAAATACGGATATTATGCGAATGAAACTATTTAGTGGCCAATGATGCCACCTACTGGATGTCACCGATCCGTTCCATATAGGACCCTTTTGAGCTGTATTCACAGGATACCACAGTCAAACACTTTGATTGGGGATACCTTTTAGCCTTGTCAATTTAAATTTCTTAAAACTTTTAAATTTCACTGAAAATTTTGTAAATCATCGCCTTTCTTCAGCAAATTATATGTGACAGCAATTTACTACGCAGCCGACAGCATCCACAAGAGATGCAGTCATATTCTAGCAAGTACATACAATTTTTGGCACATGCGCAAATCCCATTTTTCTACTCGTGCACAGCATAAGCCTTCAATTCGTTTTGGGCTCTACTACAGTTAGTTACCGTAATACGATTTCTGTTATATAAATTCGTAGTGGTTTTGTTTTAATTTTATTCAACAATAAATGCTGTTAATTTCACAAACGTAATAGAGCACTGCAAGTAAATACGCTGATATCGAACAAGTTATAATACAACAAGTAACACAACATATTATACCACAGACCATAGCACAGCTTACAGGCTTGTAGAGTTTTCATAGTTTTCATGGGAAACTTACACACATATGTATACATATAATTATATGCATTTGCTTTAATTATCGCTTATCGTTTCGTTTTTATTTTCGTGAAGATGAAATAAAGAACGCATTTGTGCATACATCTGTCCAGATTCGAGATGGTCATTGGAGTTGATTACATAAAGCTATTGGTAACTCGGAGACATTACGCCCAAAGTGTTTGTTGGAAAAGTTGCTTACGGAAATCTAAATGAATTATTTTTAAGTCAGTGGACAGAAAAAAATACAAAATTAACTGTCTGCTACGTAAAATCGATAAGCTCGAGCACATCAATTCAAGTAGTGTAATTGTGTTTTGACATTTCCATAACCGTCACCGCCACCGTCATCTTCACCATCAAAGGCGAACGTCACCACCTCATTGTCACAACATTAATTTGCCAAAATGTCATTCCTTAATAAATTAAAGTCCACACCATTGCCGCCAATTAAAAATATTATAAATGTTGCCGTGCAAACAGCTCGTCAGCACATTCCCGAGAAGAAGGACTACGAGCAACCAGGAGGTAACACAACAGAAGCGGCAGCGGCGCAACAAAACTTCAATTCACAAGGAATGTTTAATGGAGGGGCTGGCGAGGGCCAATATCAAGGTAAATGGAAAATCTAACTGCTTGTATATAAAATGGTAAATTATGTAGTACACACTTATGCATACAAACAAAGCTATATATATAAATATAGTACATTAAGCCGATATACAAACATACAAGTATATGTGGCTGCTAAAACGATTATTTAGAGCAAATACTTTATCCACATTATTATGTTCATATGTAGCTTAAGTAGGGCAAAAATTCCCTTTGAGAGCTCGAATCAGGCTATAGTACAATATTTTAATAGGGTTTCGGACTTTGAGTGTAATCATAATAGACCACAGTACTAACTTCGTGAAACGTATAATAAGTTTTGCATTTATACCCAATATAATATTCGAGAACTTGTTATTACTTTCATCTAAAAGCGCAGCCGTTGTCCTACGTGAAATTATTTGTTTTGAAATGAAAATAAAGTTGAATTTATCATTTCATTTTTTTTTTCAATGTTAAACAACATTTTTTGGTTTCTGTTCCGATGTACAGAAAAGGTGGCTATTCAACTCGTGAGCACGCCACGTATATCTTAGCCGTGTGAAAAACATAGCATTTCCAAATTTAGGCGTTATTCTATGCGACTAACCTTATGTCCTGTTGATTGTCACCTCAAAAGCAATTTTCACTGGAAACGGAATACGTTTGAACTGAACTGGCGAATCGTTAGAAGTCAAAGGAATTCGTAGAATCAAGCATTCTGCCCCTATGTATTCGATAGCCGTGTCACAATCAGTCGGGTTCCATTACGCAGTTTCGACGCATAAAGATTGCGAAGCGTAATAACGACAGATCCAACTTTGAGACGCAAATGATGCGGTGGCAATCCAAGCCTATCCAAAGAATTTATAAATTCCACGGGATAATTCAACTCGTCGTCTTCATTGTCAAGATGTTCGATCGATTTGTATGAACTTCAGTGGCATGCGAAGTATTTAGTTATCTAATCGTCCATCGTTTGATTCCAGTGATTATAATGTTCCAGCAGTTGTAATTGCTGGCATGCTTCTCAAAAAGTTGCACACACCGTACCATTGACCAATGACTCAAATGAAGTTGAACCACGTACATTAATCAATGGCAACCGAAGGTAGAAGCAATCGTCGTTTTTCGGGTGGATTGTGTAAATTATGCATTCGTTGAGAACACACCTGGATGTCCATCTACTGGTTGGCCTTGCTTTCTGCGTAACTATTTCTTCGAAAATGCATTCCATGTATAATGTTAAGGTATATCCGAATAGAGCAATGTACTCGCAATCGGATCACTGACGAGAGTTGCGCAAAAAGTTGTAAATGTTAATTTTGTTGCTGGCGGTGTTTCCAGTGGCTGTACTGTATTCTCTGGGTTGAATTACACTCGTTGGCCATTCTCCAAATGAACGGCGAGACGCAAGTCGGAAAAGGTTAATGATTTGCAAAAGTAAATATCCTACAAAGCGCTTTATTGCAGTTCACGTATCAACCGTATTGTTCAAGACCAATAACCGCAATGTTGCTTCCTTTGATGACATATTTGCAAACGTATTTGATCGATTTCACCAATCTGCAATACTCAACATTGGCGAATATGGTATGATCCATGTGTTGTTATCTTGGATATTTACGCCTCCAAATTGAATGCTGAATGTTCTGCCATTGGCGTCTGGTGAGCGACGCCGTTGGAGTGGATATCCATCATTTCCAGTTTGTGTTTAAGAAAGAAAAGCATGTGGATAGTTTTTCGTGCATTTATTGGCCTTCACCACTTCGTATAATACTGGATTTTTCTCTGGATCAGGAATTTCCGTAGAAATGATTTTATGGATATGATCTGGTGTAACCACCATTCATCATTAATAGAACAATACGGACATGCGGCAAACCTCACTTTTGCCACACAACAGAGTACATCTAGCATCTAACAGCACCACATATATGTACGTTGCTTCAAGATAAAGTCCATGTCCGATATTAGTGTGACCTCTTCGTGGCATCGCAACAAATTGCAATCTGTAATTGATCACTTTGTGTGAAAAACATATTACGTTTTCACTGAATAACTTTCAATATATATATATACATATATATTTTATTTTTTGAATAGGCGGAATAAAGAAAACAAACGACAAATTTTAACGTTGCAAATAATTGAAAAGCAAAAAAAAACTAAAAAAAAAATTTGTATGAAAGAAAAGTTACTTTTTGGAATTGTCCTATTGCCGACTTTTCCTCACGAAAAGCATACTGTTTTTTTATTTTTAAACCTTTACCGATCAACAGCGAACAACCTCTGAAAATTTCATCAAGATTGGTTCAGGCGTTCTCGAGCATTAGCGTTACTAACAAACCTCCATTCGTTTGTATGGGAAAAAGAAAAGGCTGTTTTTGGGTTTTTTCCGGCAATTATTCGAATTTTTCTCGCCGTAAAAACCATCTTTGAACTTCAACGCACATTAAAAAAAGAGTTCGCCAAATTGGTCCAGACGTTGTGAAGTTATGCGCTTAGCACAAATTTTGCAATTAATTTTTATATATAAGACTAGGGGATCCGGCCAAGCGTTGCTGTGGTATATACTTTATACTATTCAATACAGTGAACATTTTATTTACGAATAAAGGCGAAATGTATCCAAGCGATTGTACAATTGTACTCTAGTTTTGAATATGTTTATACAAATAAATTTCATTGGAAATAATATCGAATTTAAGGCTGTTTTCTCAATGTCTGGTTACCAGCGTTTCTGCCCAGTTAATAGAGTTGTCCGTTTAAGTGTCCTTAATAAACATGAACAATGTCCATGGTTAATGGAGATGTCCGCTTAATCGGGCGTCCATTTAAGAGAGTTTTTACTGTATTATTTATTATAAATTGTCTTAACTATCCTATCTTTTAAGTTGGTTTGAACTGGACACAGTATGCTAAATTTTAATAAAATCGGTTCAGTAGTTTGGGAGTCTGTCGCGGACAAACAACGTGATATGTATTTTATATATATAAGGTTTTTAAATTTTTCTGTCTGATAATAAGAAAAAAATAGAAAACTATATGGTGGAGGACTTTCTCATTGCAATGAAGTGCTCGTGTCTGGGAAGATTTTGGTAGATGTGTCTACGAACCTATTTTAATATTATTATTTTCTCTATCACCTTAATATTTATGTTGGATATACATGGATATATAGGTACGAGTTATATAAGGCAAGATATATAAGGCAAGTTCAACATCCCAAAATACTGCAGATTCTAAAACAATTGTGATAAGATTTGCCGGCTGTATTGCACTCACAGAGATTATAAAACTATGAGTAGTCATAAAAACTGCTGTGTACAAGCGGTATCTGTTAAACCTGTTTTATAGGTAAATAAATTAAGATCATAAAACAAAGTACTAAATACAAAACTAAAATATTAAAGGATCTCTCAAATCTGCTTATTCTAAACTATTTTATAACAGCATCTTCATCTATTTTGAAAGACAATTATCGATTTAATTCCATTCTAGCGCAAATCGCTGAAAGGCCAACCGAATTGAATCCCTTTCGTAATCCAAATGGGTGGAAGGATACCGACAATACAGAATACAAAAATGAAGAATATCAGAACACTTCATTTACAGCTAATGAATACGACGGACGTTATCAACAAACGGATGGATTCAGGTAAATATAAAAATAGAGACTGACTGAGATTGACTGTCGTATAGTCCCGAAATGACATGATTTATTAATAATTATGGGATTCATCGAGGACGTTACGCTGCTTAAAGCAATCGTCAAACTTTTTGATGCCATTTGTACGACATACCAATGTTTGCTTCGAAATATTTCTTAGTCTCTTCGCATTCTTCTGAGAAAAAACTTTTTTAAGATCTGAGAATAAGAAAAATACTTCTGTGCCCTGATTTGTAAGAACGATTCATACAATATTTAGTCGTTTTAGTTGATTTGGGAATTAATCGATTATGTGCACCCACGTTGCGTAGAGTTTTAACTCCATCCTAAATATTGAACAATACGTTAAACGTTCTTTCGAAGCGCCACCTACCTCGATTAACCTCATTTTATAGCACCTGAAATAATTTTATGCATTACTTCTACTAAATTTAGCAAACTTTCGAGCTATTTGGTTATATATAGACAGACGGTCATGGCTAAATCGATTCATCTCGTATAAGTTCTCTGACGTTTCTTTCTGGATGTTATAAACTTCGGCGCAAACTTAATATGCCCTGTTTATTTCTAATGTATCTAAAATTAACTAGAATTTGATAATAAAAAAGTAAGGAAGGGAAGCTAAGTTCGGGTTGTAACCGAACCCTTTGTACTTTTGCAATGACGTGTAATTTGTATACTGTAAAGTGAAATAATAAGTTGGAATTTTAAAGTTTGTTACACACAATTTGAATGGAATTGGTCAAATGGTTCCTAAGATATAGAATTTCGAATTCCTATTCCAATTTTTCAAAGAAGAAAATATTTCGTTCTTATTTAGTCTTCTTAAAAAATAATATTACGTTTCTTACAGAAACTTTTTTATTTCTTTAAGGCACTGTACACAAATTTATAACATTATTTCTTAACTCTCATGCGATGTCCCTAAACTGTGTGATTTATGTATATCTTCAGCCTTTACCTATTGTTTAACTCTTGCTATTCTTTAAAGTAGTAAACAATAATCATTTTCTATCTAGAAAAATTAAATAATTTTATTTTTCTTTCAGACAAGGAAGTGTAGCTTCAGAGGGCAGCTCATTTGTGTGCGAAGGTGAAGGTGGCGGTGGTACAAATATCGACGAATTTCAGGCCGCTTGGAATGTCACCAATGCGATTCAAGGAATGTTCATCGTCTCGCTGCCGTTTGCTGTACTGCACGGCGGTTATTGGGCTATCATAGCAATGGTCGGCATAGCATACATTTGCTGCTATACGGGAAAAGTGTTGGTGCAGTGCTTGTATGAAACCGACCCGAACACCGGCCAAATGATACGAGTTCGTGACAGCTATGTTGCCATTGCAAAGGTTTGTTTTGGACCAAAATTAGGTGCTCGTGCCGTTAGCATTGCCCAATTGATTGAATTGTTAATGACATGTATTTTGTATGTAGTGGTGTGTGGGGATTTATTGGCAGGCACCTACCCTCAAGGTTCTTTTGACTCTCGATCTTGGATGATGTTCGTGGGAATATTCTTGTTACCAATGGGTTTTTTGAAATCTCTGAAAATGGTATCGACACTCTCATTCTGGTGCACCATGTCTCACATTGTTATTAATGCCATTATTTTGGGCTATTGCATATTACAGATTGGGGAATGGGGTTGGTCCAAAGTACGATGGAGCATTGATATGGAAAACTTTCCAATATCATTGGGCGTGATTGTTTTCTCATATACATCGCAAATATTTTTGCCTTCACTAGAAGGCAGTATGATCGATCGTTCTAAATTCAACTGGATGTTGGATTGGTCACATATAGCAGCAGCAATTTTTAAAGCCGGTTTTGGCTACATTTGCTTTCTCACTTTCCAAGATGATACGCAACAAGTAATTACGAACAATCTGCACTCACAGGGTTTTAAAGGATTGGTGAATTTCTTTTTGGTTATAAAAGCACTACTTAGCTATCCTTTGCCCTATTACGCTGCCTGCGAACTGCTTGAACGTAATTTCTTCAGAGGGCCACCAAAAACGAAATTTCCTACAATATGGCATTTGGATGGGGAACTAAAAGTTTGGGGCCTTGGATTTCGAGTCGGTGTGATAGTTGCAACAATTATGATGGCTATTTTCATACCACATTTTTCAATTCTAATGGGTTTCATTGGTAGCTTCACCGGGACTATGCTGAGCTTTATCTGGCCTTGTTATTTTCATTTGAAAATAAAAGGCCATCTATTGGATCAAAAGGAAGTTGCAAAGGATTACCTCATCATCGCTCTGGGAGTCTTGTTTGGCGTAATAGGCATTTACGATTCTGGCAATGCATTAATTAACGCATTTGAATTGGGGCTACCATTTTAAGAGGGTTGCTCTTACTGGGCACAAATACTATAGAATATTCCATAAGATTCCTCGGTGTGTCATTAAATAAAAAAATAATATTAGAAAGCACAGATCGTATATTGCCAAAGGCGAACAAACTCATGAAATTTGTTTCCGAATTCCATATAAAAAAAACTATAATAAGTTTGTAATTGGGGAAATTTATGTTGCATTAAGAAATTAATTAAATGTGCTTAGTATTTACTTAAATGATAAGTCAAAACAGACATTTTGAACAAAATGAAACGAAAACGAAGTCTTCCAAAATAATGTTGTAAATGAGATATTTCATAAACATTATATAAATACTTATTTATAATTATACAAAGTAAGATAGCCTGCAAAAGGAAAAGTGAAAAATGTCTTCCAAAACGATTTAACACATATATATACATACATATATAATATATAAATACTTATTTACATAGATATAATCCAAATGCACGCAGATGTAAGTATGTATGTGTGCATAGTTTAAGATTAAAGTTGAAACATGTCTTCCATGATAATTGTATCAAATATTATAGATAGATCTTATATACATGTACATGTATTAAATTATATGGATACTTTTTTTAATGTTCAAATACATTAAAAGTATAGCCTTTATTATGTTGTTTTCTTGTGAGTATACAATTGGGGTATTCGCCTGCTCTTGCAAGATTGCTGATTGCAAAAATACTATACCGAAATATAAAAGGTCACGAGAGCACCTCTAATGATATATGAACGGCTGATTCATTTTTTTTTCATACATTTATAACAAAAAAACTGTAACAAGTCTTTATAATTTAGGTAGAAATTATAAAATCTATTTAAAACTTACCTTCCTCAACAATTTAACGACTTCATAATAAATGACAGCTAAAACAGGGTTGCAATTATATTTTTGCGTGACATTGCACGCAAATATCGATGTGTTTTGGTCTGACATACTTTACAGCCATTGCAAATAATTTTCTGCGTGTGTTTGTTGTTGTGCCGGTGCACCAAGAGGAAATATATGCAATTCTTGCACCGTGCACGGGTTTTACAAGTGAATCGATCTTGATAATATAAATTTTTCTTTTATTCATATATTGGTAGTAGAAAGTCCTTTCTACTCTAATTTTAATCTGATCTAATTTTAACTTTTTTTTTTTATTTGTAATAATTAATAAATAAACAAATATATACCATTTTGGTGTACCACTTTTTGCCATTTTTCCGCTAGAGACAATTTCCAGAACGGCAGCGGGCGAACCATTGTTGTGCTACACGAACTGTTGCTGCATCGTCTCCGTAAACTTCGCCATTTTAAAAATATCGCAAACTTTTCATTATTTTCACTTCTTTTTGAACAGCATTAGCTTTTCTTCAACTGCGCCGAATTTATTTTCTTTTTATGGTACTTAAAATCACCTTTCCAACACTATATGATATGACGCACTGTGATTGGTAGCATTGGAGATTTGCGACTGCAACGACATCTATTGACAAAATACGAAAAAGACTTTTTCGACTGCCATATATTTATTCCGTTCATGGGGGGCGTTTTTTACATGGCGGGTCCCAAACCCAGCGCACAACCCTGTTTCGCCTTCTTACTTTAGCTCGATTTCAAACGGATATTTTTAGGCTACACAGAGGATACTTGGTCAAAGAAAAAACAGACTGCCTAACTCGCAACGTTACGATTAACAGCAAGACGTGCGGGATGGGATAGCTACCAAGAGTTTAAGAGGGAAGTGAGATGCATTTGCAGATTGAAAAATTGAGAGGCCGAAATGCGTGAGTATGAAGAGCTTGACAATCTGACCGAAAAGGGTAATGCTCGAAAATTCGACGAAGAAATGCGGCGGCTTGCAGAAGGTTTCAAGACCGGAGCATACTCTTGTAGAATCCCCAGAGATGATCTATCAACCGATGCCCAGAGTATACTAAAAGTATGGAGGGAACACTTCTCTAACCTGTTGAATGGTAGTGAAAGCGTAACGCCAGAAGAAGGCGAACCCGATCCCCCAATCGATGGCGATGAAGCAGACGCTCCGTTTTACCCGTCTGAAAAACAAAAAAACATGCATCAGCTTCTTCGTAAAATATGGTTGGACGAAAGCATGCCCAACGATTGGAATTTCACTGAGATCTGCCCAAAACGGAGACCCCACTGTCTGCGCCAACTACCATGGGATAGCAGTGCGAAAAATAACTGACTCTATGAAGCTATGTCCGAATTTGGTATACCCGCAAAACTAATACGGCTATGTAAATTGTCTATGAGCAACATCAAAAGCTCCGTTAGGATCGGGAAGGAGCTCTCCGAGCCTTTCGATACCAACCGAGGTTTCAGACAAGGCGACTCCCTATCGTTCGACTTCTTCAATCTGCTGCTTCGAACCACGGAACAATCTTCTATAAGAGTATACAGCTGCTGGCTTATTGCGATGATATTGATATCATTGACCTCAACAAACGCGCCGTGAATTCTGCTGTAGCAAACGAGGGCAAGACGAAATATCTCCTTTCATCAAGCAAACAGTCGTCGCCCTTGCGACAGGCTCCAACGTCACTGTCAGAAGTGATAACTTCGAAGTCGTAGATAATTTCGTCTCTAGTATTAACAGCAATTACAATGTCTGCCTCGAAATCCAACACAGAATAGCTCTTGCCAACAGGTGCTACTTCAGATTGAGAGCAAAAACCAAACTAAGGCTACATGGTGCGGAGGCATGGACGATGACAACATCTGTTGAGTCGACGTAACGAATTTTCGAAAGAAAGGTTCTGCGAAAGATTCATGGTTCTTTGCGTGTTGGCCACGGCGAAAGTCGCATTGACACTCCAGCTTTGAAAGACACAGTACCCGCCGGGGGAAGCAGAGGAAAAGGAAGACCTCAACTCCGTTGGAAAGACCAGGTGGAGAAGGACCTGGCTTCGCTTGGAATCTCCAATTGGTGCCACATTGCGAAAAGAAGAACGACTGGCGCGCTGTTTTTAACTGGGCTATAACTCAGCTGAAATCTTTTATGAACTTCAGTGCATGTTGTTGAGTTTTTCCAATGGCGAAATCCTTCGCCAGTTTAAGTGTTCATTCACCACTTTTACCAAGAAGTAAGTATGGACCATAGAATATAGATCCTTTTGTTTCAGAATAAATTATTTAATTTCTATGTTCTTCAAAGAGCGTTCGAATAAACTTTTGAACACACTCTTTTATATCCTTATAAAAATTTTTAGAATTTTTGAAATCCATAACTTCATTATGTGACAAACCGTTCATTCTAGTTATGGAAACTCAAATTTCTTCGTGGAATTTAACCATAGAAAATGGGCTCTACTTTATTTTAAAATATTAGATGTTTACTGTGTTTATCCAGCACCGTCTAATGGAGAAAAATCTGAAAGCGTTTCGTTCAAATCTTAGTCTTGCAATAAAAAGTATTGTGTAGCAGAATCTAAATTCGGCTAGAAAAATATGTTTTAATAACATTCAATAATTTATTCTTAATTATATTTTAAACATTAAATAAATTATTAATAATTACTTACGGTAGATGGACCTGATGCTTGAGAATCATTATTGATAAATTTTAATCATAAAATGCGATATTGTTGGTGTTTTTATGCTCTTGCAATATATTGGTGCAGCGTATAATAGTTTTGTTCATCTAACGGTTGTAAGTATCAGCTAAGCACTAAATTAAGATATAAAACTCTAGAGTAAGTTCAATACACATATGTATCTCCTAAACCACTGAAGCTACAACGACTGTGTGAAAAGCCCCTAGGTATTGAATGTGTGGACCTAGTGCTTGTAGTTGACGTTTTACCGAAAATATCGGTCAATGTGTGAGATATATAATTAAAAGACAGAGAAGATTCTTTCATGATAAAAATATGTCTGTGTGTTAAGAATGGGTTTAATCGAATCAATACTTCCTTTAGCCCCTAGTATAAGAATTTTCGAACTTTCGGGTAACTTTATACCGCATATATGTCAATTACCTTAATAAAGTTAAGAGAACGCGTTTTACTCATAACAGTATATCTTTGTGCCTAAAATGGATCAAATTTGGCGACAACTTGGCCTAGCCCCCATATAACTATTGTCAGGATTTTCGACCCACCCGGCTGACTTTACTCCATATGATTGGTTATTGTATGTGACGAACTTTGGTGATACTATTCTATTAGTCTGTGGCCTTTAAACTGCATGTAGTATTGGCAAAAAATAGATAAAATCGAGTCACAATCTATCTCCTATATTCCTAATATAAAATCTTCAACTTTCGTCAAAACTAAGTGATATTGATGCCCTATAGTTTAACGCCAAAAATATGTGAAATTGATTTATGAATGACCCAAAATTCCATATTAGAGTAAATATAATTATTATTTCTAAGAAACCTCATACTAAATGTTTCAGTATATTATACAAGTTATGTACCATACCTATATATGAAATTGTTTTAATTTCAATCCTCCGGTTGACGTTTTGGTATTTCCTGGTCCTGCTAAGTTGCAAGAGTACGAAATCTTCGGCTACTCCTGAGCATAGTCCTTCCCTGAACAGGGTATATTAAGTTTGTCACGAAGTTTTTAACACCCAGAAGGAAGGGTCGGAGAAACTATAAAGTATATATATAAATGATCAATATGTCGAGCTGAGTCGATTTAGCCATGTCCGTCTGTCTGTCTGTCGGTATATATACGAACTAGATATCGTTTAGAAATGAAATGCCCCTGTGAAGAGTATTTAGCTTCGAACCGAAGTTAACGTTTTTATAATCTCGCAACAAAGTTGCTAAAGAGAGTATTATAGTTTTGTTCACATAACGGTTGTCCCACTGCCACGCCCACAAAATGGCGGAAACCGAAAACCTATAGTGTCATAACTAAGCCATAAATAAAGATATTAAAATGAAATTTGGCACAAAGGATCGCATTAGGGAGGGGCATATTTGGACGCAATAGTTTTGGAAAAGTGGGCGTGGCCCCGCCCCCTACTAACATTTTTGTACATATCTCGAAAACTACTATAGCTATGTCAACCAAACTGTATAGAGTCGTTTCTTTTAGGCATTTCCATATACAGTTCAAAAATGGAAGAAATCGGATAATAACCACGCCCACCTYCCATACAAAGGTTATGTTGAAAATCACTGAAAGTGCGTTAACCGACTAACAAAAAACGTCAGAAACACTAAATTTTACGGAAGAAATATCAAAAAGAAGCTGCACCCAGGCTTTCTTCAAAAATGAAAATGGGCGTGGCTTCGCCCATTTATGGACAAAAAACCATATCTCAGGAACTACTCGGCATATAATATTTTCTTAACACCCTGATGACATGTACGAAATATGAGTGAAATCGGTTCACAACCACGCCTTCTTCCAATATAACGCTATTTTGAATTCCACCAACGGAATAAAACTGTACACAAATACGGTATTTGATGCGAGAGTATAAAATGTTCGGTGACACCCGAACTTAGCCCTTCCTTACTTGTTTTAGTATGATTTCTATTTTTTGAAGACTCAGAGTTTTAGACTCTTTTTTTTTCTTTAACAATGTTCTGCACCGCCAAGTGTTTCTTGATATTATCTCATTGTTAATAGAAAAAGTTAAGTTCAGAACCTCGATAAATTGTTAAATAAATGTCTACTTCAAAACAATAATAAAGTTCTTTAAATTTTTTTACGATAAAATGTTGGTATATTTCTACGTTCTGAAAATTGTCACTCTTTAAATCGCACCGCCTTACGCCCCGAGGCTCACGTAGCCATTCGAAGAAAATCTCTCTGCACGTTCACAGTTCCACAGTTGTATATAAAACTCAAAATATAGTGGATGTTATTTTTTATATATGTAGTATAATTGTAGAATTTATTATTAAATACATACATACATATGTATACTTGTATGTGGCAATTCTGCATGCTTAATATTTACATATAATATAATATTAGAGAGAAAGGATTAATATGTCGACATGTGTTTAAAAATTGTATGTGGGTTAGTTGGAAAATTAATTCTTAACAGTTTTAAAAAATTTATGTTCGTTCGTGTTTCTAGTGTGTTGGAATGCACCTTCTTTGATTTTGTGTATAGCACAAGTTGTAGATGGAACCGTTTTGTATTCACTACGGTATAGGGTTGTAGACGAATCTCCATCTATACCTAGAGAAATCGATGATTGGTTGACATTTCTACGGGATACAGTTCGTTCGGAATGTTTACTGTATGATGGAAATTCTATACCACTGGAAGACGATGTTTTATGAACATTGCAGGATTTCGAAGTCTGATCCCTACTTTGCCTACTTTGCAATTGACTAAGCGTGTTAAAGTGGCGGCGTTCACTCACCAAAAATGAGTTGTTATTATCTTGTTGTTCTCTACTTTGTCTATGTATACTGCTGTAGCTTTGACGTTCACTAGGGAAAACCGAACTCGATGGCTCCTCGTGCAAGTTTAAAATACTCTTGCGATGAATTTTACCATTCGATGTAAGACTACCTATCTGATTGGAATCGTTAGAAACAGATTTTCGATGAAATACTGAGTTCGTAACGTTCGTATCGGCAGTGAAGTCGCTTCTTCGATGATGAAAATGTTTGGATACTGTAGAAGCTGAAGAACTAGATTTCGTTTCTGACGAGGAGCTTTCGGCTGTGGATTTTTGTTGAGTGGAATGTGTTTGATCTGACATAAATTTACCCGATCCAGCAGCGTTTTGCTTTGCTGATGCGCTCTGCATTTCTCCAAACTTGCATTGAGTGGAGTGGGTTTGACTCGTGACTTCTCCTATTGTTGTACTGGATAATGCTCTTTCAGAAGTGTTGCCAATTTTACTAGTTTTGAATTGTGCCGAGGAGGACTCATGCGATGAAGCGTTAATGCGGGTATCAGTTATTTTATTTTCCTTTCTAATACGATTTTCGGTTATAGAAATTGCCTCGTCGTGTTTATTTTCAACGTTTACAGTGTTCTTAACATTGTTGGTCTTTGCAACATTTTCTATGACATTCACTCTCTCTTGTCGTTTAACATATTCTGTTTCAGGTTCTTTCTTAACCCGACCACCTATTACTGTAGTTACCTTTTTCGTCGATACTACTACTAAACCGTCCACGGGTTTATCCGAATTTACATTTGCGGCAGGAATTGCTTGTTTGCCAGAAACAAAGTTCATTTGATTAGTTGTTTTCAAAATAGCGTTATCCTCTCCAAGAGTTATAGATGATTTGTTATGAGAATACTTCGATCGGACAGTCTTTTGTACTACTTTAGTGCTGTCTAGTCTTGAACTTTGTTTTTCATTGTAGTCATCTCTTCTGGAAACCTGAAGAGTGCCCTCTAGTTTGAGATTGTCTACTGGACGTTTTACAACCACCTTTTCAGTAGCAGTTTTCAAAAGTTTAGAATCGGTTCTATCTGTAGATGAAATATACATGTGTCCTTCTGGCCTAAGATTATCTTCCGGTTTTACTTGTTTTGGACGCTCAGCCGGCTGATATTGCTGTTTTTCCTTACTGTAGAAAGTGCCTTCAGGTTTAAGGTTATTACGTGGCACAATTTTTTCTGGTCTCTTAACACCCACGTGTTTTTCCGTTTCTGTAAAGGTCATCTCCCCCTCCATTCTTAAATTATCTTTGTGAATGACTCGTCTCACTTTTTCAGCCGGTTTAAATCCGGGTTTATCAGGAGTGTAAAATTCACCCTCCATTCTTAAATTATCAGAGGGTACAACCTTTTCGAGCCTATTTACATACTGATACTGATTTTTCTCTGCAAACGACATTTCTCCTTCCATGTGTAAATTATCTTTTCGGACAATGCGTTTTGTTTTCTCGGCGGGCTTAAATGATGTTTTCTCGGGTACGGTAAATTCACCCTCCACTTTTAAATTGTCTTTGGGTTTTTTCACTACAGGTCGTTCACCAGACTTGTATGTAGGCTTCTCCACTTTATAAAATTCGCCTTCGGGTTTAAGGTTATCTGTAGGTTTTATTTGATCCGGCTTTTTAACAAACTCATATTCCCTTTTCTCGGTAAATATAATTTCTCCTTCCGTACGAAGATTGTCCTTTCTAATAATGCGCTCACTTTTTTCAGCAGGTCTAAACGCAGTTTTTTCTGGTACATAAATATTTCCCTCTGATTTGAGATTATCTTGTGGCTTTTTCGCAACAGGACGTTCGGCGGGTTTATACCCAGGTTTCTCTGGTGTATAAAATTCTCCCTCAGGCCGTAGATTATCTGCATGCTTCACTTGTGA